CCCCCGCAACCGACTAAAAAAAAAAAAGAAGCTCTGTGCTGTCCTTCGTTGTCGTGAGGCAGGCCACGACCTATCCACCCTGCGAACAGCCGTCAACACCTCCAAACAGTCCTCCGCCTTACACTCTCTCCGGTTATCTTACCGCGAGAGCGATCAACGGATGGAGATGGAATAGAAAAAAAAAAAGCAACGAAACTACACGTGCTCTACGTACAACGACAGGGCTCCACAAACCATGAGAGGCAGTACTTCAAAAAAAAAAAAAACACGCACGAAAAAAGAAAACTACAAAGGGAAGAACGAGGCAATGGAGGAGCGACAGCAAGCGCACCCCCCATCCGTCCCACGTAAGCCTCCCTCCCTTCACCTGTCCACGTAAGCCGGGCGCCTGCAGCGGAGGAGCTTCCGGTGGTCGATGTAGATCTCGGCCAGGCACCGCACGAGGGCCAGGAGAGGGGCCAATGGATAGGCCACCGCGAACATCGTCACGTAGCCGTACTGCACCATCAGGTCCAGGTACTCTCGCTGGGTGTGGTACTCCGGAAGCATCCTCTCGTGCATGAGCGCCTTCCTGTAGGCCAGCTTCTTTGCTGCGCACTTTTTTTTTTCAAAATGTCATTTTGCGTTCCGATGGTTTGAGAGGGGGATAATATTATTCAATCAGGGAGGGGGGGGGGGGGCGGCCGTACGTGATCAGGCAACGATGAACAACGACGAAAGGAGAAAGGAAAAAATAAAAGAAATCCCACAAGAAAAGCTTTCCGCTTTGTCAAGGCAACCACCAACTTGCCTCACGTCGTCCTACAAGTGCTGTGGCCTCTTCAACGACCGCTTCTACCCTCCCTTTCCTCGGATCACCGGCTTGAGTGCGTGTGTCTACCGCCCGCGACTGCTGTGGCGTGTTCCGTATTGCGCCCCTTCGACAAAATCTCCGCCCTTTCCATCGGGTCTCCCGTCATCATCTTGCACTCATCACCTTTCGTCCGAACACATCCCATCTACCCTCTACGCCCCCCTCCAGCTCTCCCCCTTACCCACTTTCCGGAACAGCCAGGGTCACGCAGCAGACTCCCATATTCCCTACCCCCGCCCCCAATTTCGTGGCGGATTCCCCCCCCCGCCTCCCCCCATCCATCCAGGTATTTCGCGAGGACGGGGGCTCGACAGTGGACTAGTCTTACCACATGGTCCCAAGATGCTACCGTTGGGTCCTGCCTGTGAATAATTCACCTTCTGCACTATTACATAGCCCCCCCCGATAACACCCAAACAGCCGCACCTTCCCAATTGGGGGCACACGCTGTCAAGACCGAAACCACCCCCAGAGTTGCGGACTTACCCCGATCTCCCCTCTGCGACAGGACACCTCGGGGTTCCTGCGGTTTTTCTGTTCTCGTGGTTGCTGGCGCGATGAGAACGGCAGCCACCCTCGCCTGCGAGTGGCCCCCTGCTGCTGCTGCTGCTGCTGCTGCTGCTGCAGTTGGTGCTGTGTCTTGTGCGTGACGAAGGCGGTTCCATTGGTTGGGGCGGTCGCGCGCTGCAGACGAGTCCTCCAGTAGACCTGGATCATCGGCGCCACCATCTCCTGGAAACGAAAGGAGAGAGAGAGATAGATGGTAGAACACGTAGAACAGAGCAGCGGCCGAGGGGGCGAACGTAAAAAAAAAGACACGTGCGAGAAACCAAACACGAGAGCGAGAGAGCGAGGGAGAGCAAGAGAGCGAGCGAGAGAGAGAAAGAGAGAAAGGGGGGGGGGGGG